GACTTTTAGCAATTTTGACTAATATTTGTTCTTGGCTTCCTATAGGATCCTGGTCATTAGCCAACATTCTTATTTCACTTCACATTATGTGCAGGCCAGGATTCTACTGCCTTGTTAGCCTACCATGCTTAAAAAAAAAATCCTTAATTATTTTATTTTTTATTTCACTGTATTTATTTATATTCTATTTTTACAAATAAATCCATGTTTACAAATCAAGTTAAAACTCAATGGCATTCCTTTTTTAAGCTACCTTTACATTTTTAAGCAAGGAGAGATAGTGGCAGATAAGACTTTCTTCCAAGATCTTTTCTAAACAGCACATAACAGCCATAGACTTGTTTATCAACTGTTCATTCAGTGTTTTTTATAGTCTGTATCTGGCTAACTCAGATAGTCTTGATCAACAGTACTATTATTCAACATATTTCACATTCAGATGCTGCAGAGTTTTTGCTGGCTTAAGGTAATCCTTCTGGTGATAAAATATCATCTCTCCACACTGTTATAATAGAAGCAGTGATGCTTTTCTATCCAAGCTGGACTTCCCATCCAAGCACTGCCATTCCAAGCCAACATTAATATCAAGGAACAAGCAATCAACTTCTGGCTTTAATCTTGTCCTCCAAAAAAGATTTGGAAAAACCTCTAGCAGAAAGACAACAATTTCATGCTATTGACTAGTGTATGGCTGGTGATGGTTGTATCATCAGTTACCTGCTTGGAAGAAGAATGAGCACGAAAATTACTAGCTAAGCTCTCCTATCCAGCATTACCATTCTTTTTGCAAAGCAAGTCATCTGTGTCAAAGCCAAACAGGATTAACTATGCTTCAGAACTAGTCCAGCACCCCTGGAAAAAGGAGACCTTTACTTTTACATGAAAATGTAAATAATTCTCAAAATTTCCAATTTTAATGCCCCAAATAGTAACATTAATGTCAAATAAAAAAATTGTTTTTGTTAATGGCCAGGGCTATTTTCCTGACCAGAACTCAAAATTCCACTGATCTAATCTATCAATAAAATAAGAAAACTAAAAATAATTGCACAGGCACAATTTTTTTCCTGTTAAATTATATCACGCTTGTATCACAATATAAATAAATAATGTTGCAAGAAATTTGTTTTGCACATTTTTCAACAACTGAAATGAACTATCAGTTTTTGTCAGGAACTTAAAAGAGAGAAACATCACCATCTTGTGGCCACCTAGGTTCTTACCTGTGTGTCTTATATTTGTGAAAGCAAGTCCCAGCACTTGTGTGAAATAGAGACTTATAAGGAACAACTATACATCTCTCAAGATTATAAGATATGATGCATATTTTTAAAAAATGCTAAGAATTTGGAACCTCCCTGTGCAAATGTCAGTGGAAAACTATTTGGGCATCTATTTTTTTTATATTCCTATGCTTTTAAAATTAAACAAAAAATATTGTGTTGTGCTGATTGTTTCATGAGCTTTTTACAGCAAGAAATCGATCAGTTTGGTTAATTGTAGGCATGCTAAAAAATGCAACATTCAGTTCATATGTTATGTGCTATAATGGCTCCCTTTTGGTCATACGTTATTTTGTGTATTAATTTATTTCATTCGTTTTTGTAGATGCTTTTGCTACCATTAATTGCACACCAGTGATTTGAGCACTAACAGGAAGATTAAATAGATATTACACGCTGTTATGATCAGAAATATAATTGATGCTAGAAGGCTAGAAGGACACCATCCACAACTATATACAAAAGTTTAGACATACACTCATATTTCTTGCAACTAGCTCATTCTGTTCTTGTTTTAGGCATTTTTCCCACTCTTCCTTGTTGAACTTTTCTAGCTCAGAAATATTCTTACACCTCATATGTACTCCATGTTTGAGATGTCCCCACAGATTTTCAGTAATATTCAAGTCTCAGGACTGTGAAGGCCATTCCCAAACCTTTAATTTACTTTCATCTAAGTACTTCATAGTTGATTTCAGGTATGTTTCAGATCATTTTCTTGCTAAAATATCACACCTCTTCTGCTTCAGTTTCCTTATTGATTATAGGACATCAGCTTCTAAGATATGTTGCTATTTTATTGTATCCTATCTTCCTTCCACACACAGAGCATTTCCTGTGCCAGTGATTGCCAATGACACCAAAGCATAATAAAGCCAAGCTGGCTTTAACCGTTGAAATTTTTTTTTTCTTCAAATGGTTCATACCTTTATATTTTTCTCCAAATGTATTTTGTGTGATTGTGACCAAACAGTTCAATTTTTATTTCATCCATCCAAAGTGTTTTATTCCAAAATATTTTAGACTTAGCAGGGTTTTCTTTTCCATTCTTTAGATGACTTTTGTGATGAGGTAGGAAAAAAACCTTTCCTTTGTACAATATCCCATGAGGATAATTTATCCTGTGCTGTGGACAATTATTCCAGTGTCAGATTAACTTTTCAGCAAGTGATTTGCTATAACCTATGGATTCTGCTTTCAAGTTCTGCAGAAGTGTTGTCAAAAATTCAAGATGGTAATTATAATGGTGCGACTGCTGATTCACATAAAAAATGGGTGAACTCAATCTCACCTTTGTGGCCACCATCTTGAATTTTTTCATCATATCCTGTAGACAGCCTGCAGTTCTGAAGAGTTTGGTGGCAGTTTTAAGTGAAAATTTTCTTGGTCTTCAAGTTAGTGTCTGATAGTCAGCAAAGAAATTGAAGTTGGAAAGAGGTTGAATATTCCAAAAGCAAGATTACAAAGACTCTTATTACAGGAAATATTGGAAGCTATAATTTCTACTAAAGGTGTCACAAAATACTGTACTGACTGAAAAAATGTCCAAACTTCTACACCTGCAATATTGTTTTCTCAATTTGAATCTGTAAAAAACTACATAAATAGTAAGCATAAATTCAAATTTGCAGAAAGATGCAAATGTTACTGCTAGAAGTCTGTATGCTTAATTTTCCTTTTCTTCATATCATATAAACTGAAGTAAATATTCATAATATAGATTTTATATGTAAGGGTTTTTTTGTGGGCTCTCCCTCTTTGCTTATTTTTACATAAGCAGAAAAACAGTAAATATATTTTTTAAAAAAAAATGTTTGTGACCATGCCCAAAGAACTGCTGTTTGGTAGGACAAGTTTTATGTATGCCTAAGCTTATTCAAAAACTATTCCTCAGTTACTAGCTATAAAGAAATGGCTAACCACAAAAGGATTGAGGCAGCATCCAGATAGCAGAAGCCATTCATCTCTACTTCTGGGCAACATATTTGATGAGAGAGATGTCGTATGTTCTACACAATGTTTCTTTCTTCTTCCCTTAAGGGCAATCAAGGACACCAACCCACCCTCAATGTGAAGTGAGATCCCATAGTGAGGATCTTCCTGCTGCGCTTGCTAGGTCAAAAGCAACATTTTTCAAATTGACTATAGCACATAGGACTGTACTGTACAGTGCTTTGGAGTTGAAGGCAACAAAATGTTTTGGAGACAGAAAAGCTGTTATATTCACAAGTTTAAATAAGAGGCAGATCCAGCATACTTGCCCTGGAAAGAAAACTTGAGTTGGAAAAACCCTGCATAGAATAACTTTCTCTGACCTCTTCCCCAGAAAAGGGATTGTCTATATGGCCATCATGCCAAACTCTGGCTAAGAGTGCCCTACCCCAGGTGTACCAACTTACAAGCCACAGTGATGTGCAAATACAACCAATTCGGCATATGAAGTGTTACCTACTATATTTTATACCAAGCTAGCTATAAACATATCACTAAGCCTATGCACAGCTGAACCTAGGCCAAATGGATGACATTCAAACCAGATATGGCCCTTACGAGAGTATCCAGATGTCCAGGCTTCTGTTCTTGTGTATTTTATCTGCCAACAGGCATCTGCAAAGAAGTAGAAAGCTACCTCATATAAAACCAGATCATTAATCCACCAATATAGATATTGTGGACACTGATTAGCTCTGGCTTCTAGGTTTTCAGAAAAGAATATTGCTCAGCTCTACCTAGAAATGCTACACATTGAACCAGAGATTAATAGAAATAGGCAGCTGTTAAATGAAACAGTGCCACTAGTTTCAATAAAAAATACTGAAGCCAAAATCCAGATACAAAGTTATAGTTGAAATTACATTTCACACATTATTCTTAAATCTAAGAATCCCTTTATACTGAGTCAATAATTTTCTCAGCAAAGTGAAAAAAAATCCAAACTACCTTGAAGACCACCTGGAAGTTATAACTTGTCCAGAATGCAGCTGCACTGTTGGGCACCCCTAGATTCACCCATGTTACACTTCTGTTGGGCAAGCTGCACTTGCTGAGTTTTTTTCTGGGTACAATTCAAGGTGCTACTTTTCACCTCTAAAGTTCTATACGATACAAGCCCAGGTTATTTATAGGACTGCCTCCCCATGATGGTACCTGCATGTTGCACCAGATTGAATAGAGTGGGCACATTCCAGGCCCCCTCCCTTAAATGTTGCCAACTAGCAGGACCTAGGAAGTGTGTCTTTTCCGTAGCAGCCCCCACCTTGCAGAACACCTTTCCCCTTGAGATCCAGCAGGCCTCCACCTCTTAACCTTCTGGGAGGCCATAAAGAGCTGGCTTTTGCCCCAAGCACTGGGATAAGGCGAGGGCGGAGCCTGATGCGGGTGGTGTTGGCTGAATCGGAGAATGATTGTGGCACCAGGTTTTTACATTTGTTTTATGGTGTTTTGGTTTTGTACCACTGCTGTGAGCTGCCCAGATTTGTGTCTCTTAAGATGGATGTCTTTTAAATAAAGACAAGTCATTTAAATAAATAAATACAGATCTGCCCATTGTATGTGGGGCACTCCTGCCCTCACACCACCAATGTAAATAAATTTTCTGTCTACTCTTAAGATATGTATAAATAATTCATCATTAAACCTAATAGTCCTACAAATACTCAGTTTTTCTTGTTAATTTGGTGAAAGTAATAGAGGAAAATAATCAGACAAGTCAGTGGATCATCTTAGGTGCATATTAAATTGAAGTTTTATTTGTTGACAATTTATGCTTTCTTGGTAGATGCCACCTTTTGAAGCTTTTTAACTTCGTGCTTGATGATCCTGTTTCGCTGTAAAAACAATTAAGTAATAATTATAAAGCAAGAATTTTCAGTTTTCATCTTACAAACTATTCACTTATGAGCAACTGAAAGATAATCTGCCATAGTTCAGTACTCAGTTTTTATTCAACTGTCACTTTCAAATGACAAACTTCTGAAGAAAAGAATAGGATTCTGCTGTTGAAGAATCCTATTCACAATACCTTTTTATTTCAAAAGTTTACTGATGAACAGCTAAAAGCAGAAAGCCAGCTGTATCAAGAGTTGACACTGGGCGTTTACTCATTTTATTTATAGGGTTAAAAAACTGCTCCAATTAATCAACTCTAAGTGGCATGCAACTCCCCAAATCTGGCATTTGCTGCTCTGAAACCTCACCCTCCTGGACTCTTTCTTTTTTAGTAATTGTTTTATATAGGTTTTATGTAATTGAATTCT